GTGGGTAAGAACCTCACTTCTTCAGATGCAAGAAGTGAAGTTCTTACCCACGAAAGCTTATGCTCCCAGTACTTCTGTTAGTCTCAAAGGTGCCACAGGACCCTCTGCAACAAATTAATGACATGTTGAGGGCCAGTTGGGTGTTAATATATTTTAAAATGTGTGTGTGTGTGTGTAGAAAGATTTCTATGGACTACGATGGGCTTCAGAACAGACCCATGTTGAATATAAAATGTACTTTTTATTTATGTCCCTCTCCCCCACCTATCATATGCTCCTGGTTACTTTAGAGATTGTAAACTCTATGGGGCACTAGAAGCAGATGACTACTCTAGAATGGGTGTAACACAGCCCTCTCCCCTATGGCTGTTCAGTAGCAGGAGGCAAAATCTCCTACTGTATGCTGCTACTACTGCAGAGGGCTGAATCTTACATCATTGGCACGGCAGGCAAGCAGTTCCTAGGCATGGCAGGCAGGTACCAATATCTGGCCACATCCCTCCTTTGCTAACACATTCTCACGTCCTGAAGGGTGAGAAACAAACATGGCATAGCTGCAGGCTTTGGAGCTCAGCAACAGCAGAGTGACTCTGAGTGGTTGAAAGCCAGCAGAGCAGATTCTCTCTGCTCTGCACTGTGAGCCTGGCCCAGGTAGCTGCCTGGGGAGGCAATGCAGATTGATTAGATCATGGAAGCCCCCTAATGACTCCCTGTAGCAACAAGCTAGATTTAAAGAAATCCAGCATGGAAGCAAAATTGTAGTTCTTAAGTCATTAGAATCGTGCTCCATTATCCTTGAAATGGTGTGGAATACATATTTCATGAAAGCAATAAGCAAACATTTTCTATAAAAATGTTTTCTCTCAACCAAGACTGGAAGGAACCTCCCAGGGCCTCAAATCCAGTCCCCTGCTATCACAGAACTAACCTGTCTCTCGATATCGGACAGCAAAGTACTGGCACCTAGGCGAAAGAGGTCTGGTTTCAGCCACTCATCTCCTAGCTCCTCCTTCATCAATACGAGCCAGGTAAGAGCATCCTTTGCACTACGAATGCCTCCAGCAGGTTTAAATCCAACCTTAAGAAAAGTGCAATACATACAAAATACTATTTATTTTCAGTGATTTGTCTTCATTTTAGGAGAAATGAAAATCTGCATATCTCCAGCTGGGAAATGTCCACAATGTACAGTCAAGACTCTGTTCTGCGTTAGGTTCTAACTTTAGGCAAAGCCTTGAACAAGCAATAGTGTGTAAGCTGCACCAACTCAGGAGTAGTCCTGGAAGGCTTTGTGCCTCAGACACCCCTGTGAAAGGTACAATTCCCTCCCTGCTTCCTCCTTGCTTCTGGAACCCCAATGAGAGAGTGGGGTAGAGGCAAGACTGTCCATTCCCAGCCACCCTCTCATCCCCCATTCACATGCTCTGGGGAAAGAGGGAGAGGGTAGGTAATGTCTCCAACTCTTACATGCCTGTTCCCAAGTTCTGGGTAGCTGACGTAGGGGGTATAAAGGATGATTCTTATTCTATTGCACAGGCACATAGTCACCATCTAGTTCTAAATGTCTAATAATAAACACACACACAAACATCTCCTCAAAGATGTGGAAGTGAAGAGGTCTGTATGGAATGGGAGTTATCTGTCAACAACTGAGAGGCTTCTATATTTTACTGAAAGTGCATGCATGATAATTATATGCTACCAGTCTGTACTTTTAGCTATATTTAGTACACTAAAATTAATATTCAGTTAATTGCCTAGATATAATAAATCTTTCTACAGGGATGCACCGAGTTGGGTCCGTCCCTGCTAGACATATGAAATTTTGTGTTTGTTTGTTAATTTGGCAAATACTGTCATTCCAGAGAACATCCACAGAATGTGTTTTTTATCAGAACTGAAATGTAAGGCCTGCAATATACACCGCTACCTCAATATAACGCGACCCAATATAACATGAATTCAGATATAACGCGGTAAAGCAGTGCTCCGGGGGGGGGGGCGGGGCTGCGCACTCCGGTGGATCAAAGCAAGTTCAATATAACACTGTTTCACCTATAAAGCGGTAAGATTTTTTGGCTCCCGAGGACAGCGTTATATCCAGGTAGAGGTGTATGAAACAATCTGAAGTTAAACAATGCGTGTTGTGTTAAGAGAACACATTCTGGGTCCTATGTCAGCTGCATATCCATACACTTTTAGGATTGCAGAATCCGTCCACATCACAGTCCTTAAGAGCCTAGGAGTTCCTACACTAGAATGGACCATTTATCCATCAAGTTCATTATCCTGCCTTCAGCAGTGGTCTATACATAGGCCCTGAAGCTTGAAAAGCAAAGAGAATAAGAAGCAGGCTTGCTGGTATTTGATGTAATGCAGGAACAATCTGGATAGTCTGCAGTGTAGTATATAGTGGTGCTTTCACAATTCCCTCCACCCCAGGAAGATTCTCCTTAGAGAGCCCTGAGACCTTCCCTGTTCCATTTTTTTTCTTTTATTCTGCTTTCTCCTTACGCCCTCACTTCCTGAGAGGATTATCAATCTGCTAAATATTTGAAGCAGTTATAGCCTGGAAAACATGAATCCCATTTTCTAGAGGATACAGTGAGATCCGTAAGAAAATTTACTGGAATTAAAAAAAAATCATTGAACTACGTATTTGGTAAAGATTATAGTAATTTAGCAAAACAAACTTGTAGAAGAAGTATGTTTCTCTCACACTGAAGCATTCTAATAACACTATTTCTAAAAGATAAAAACAGGAAAAGCAGCTGAATCTGAAATGCAGAGAGAAAGAGAGAGAGAAAAAGAGTGAATGTAATAGCTCTAGTTTTCCAAAAATAATTCAAACCACAGCAACTGGAAAAACATCTGCAATGCAAAGAATTAAAGCAAAGGGTATATGGTGTCAGTTTTTCTTTCCCAAAGGAAAAACTAATGAAAATCTCATTAGATTCTTCCTACAAGTGTCAAAGCTCTTTGAGATAATCTGTGGCTAAAACAAGTAAACTTCAGTTTTTTTAAAAAAAGGGTGGGGAGAGAAAAATTAAAAATAACACTTGCACAATTTTTCCTGTTCAACATGAGTATTCCAAAAAAAGTTTTTATTTTTGCAAAGAGCTGGCAAAGACTGGCCTATCCTCACCTTCATTGCCCAGCTTTCCAAAGAGCACATCTGACTGCCATAAAAATGGAAAAAAAAGATATTTAATTCAAGAGCTGCATAAAGTCTAGCTGCTTTTTCCCTGCTGTTTCACAGCATTTCATTATTTTGTTTAATAAGTTCATCTCCTCGAGAATTTTCTCTTCACCTTATATTATTAAAAGTAATATGTTTTTCTGGACTGGGGGTTTCCCAACAGAAAAACCAATTTATGTGTGTCCTTCAATAATGACAGGAAAAGATTATTTCCCATTATACTGCACACTTTTCATATCACTACCACAGCTTATCATTCAATAAATGTTACTCTGCAACCTGTTCCTTTCCTTGAAAAAGTTTAATTTCTGTATTAACCTGTTTTTGCCGGCTCACGCCTTGCTAGAAAGCTTCTGTACAGCAGCAGAATTAGTTTGTTAAAGAAACCATTTAGAAATCTCTTGTCACTGATAAAATTGTCTTCAGTTAATAGAAGGATATAAAGTCAGTTTACATCTAATTCTCTCTCTCTCACTCACACTCTCTCAAGCACACACACGCGCACACGCACACACACACACAGAGTCTCTTAATAGCACATTTTAAACTGTGAATGAATTGTGTTAAAATGAAAGATAAATTAAACAATTATATTAATTAAATGTAAAAATCTTATAGTAATGCAGTGTGAAAGGGCAAATCCTACTCTAGTCACATGGCTGCAGGAGCCCCCATAGCCGTTTACTACACACACACACACACACACACACCCCACCCCCCTCTCTCCAGGGAAATAGTCAATGGAGTTAAAATCCTAGTCTAGCCAAGGCCAGGGTTGTGGATAAATGGACCAGATTCTCTGTTACACTAATGCCCATGGAGGCTATTCTGGCAACCTAAATGGACATTAAAGCGAGTGGAAATGGCCTCTTGAGACTATTGCCTGTGCCGGGGGCTTCCCAGCTGACATAAGGGCAGAGGGAGAGAGGGAGGGGCAAGCCAGAGATGGAGAGGAGATGTCATGGGAGTACTGTACTATAGCTGCTTTCTGGGGACCATGGGAGGAGACGAAGCATAAGTAAGAGCAGTTCTGAGGTTGTTCCAACTTAACCTGGGGTTTGCACAGGCCCCCAACTGCCCCAGAACTCAGGAAAGGGAAAGATGGCTTAGAGCTTTCTTTGGCCACCTTCCCCTTCCATTACTGTTGCAAGTACAGGAACAGATGAATGGAAAATTGGATCGGCACCAAGTCTCCCCTCCAAGTGATATGGAAGGACAGTAGTAGTAAACATCCTGTTCTCAGAAGCCTGTTCCCCACACATACTAGTTCTGCTGCAGAACTTACACACTGTCTTTCATGGCTGGTGGGAAACCCTACATCAGGGTGGGCAAACTTTTTGGCCCTATGGCCACATCTGGGTATGGAAATTGTATGGCGGGCCATCAATGCTCATGAAATTGGAGATTGGGGTGCGGAAGGGGGTGAGGGCTCTGGCTGGGGGTGCAGATTCTGGGGTGGGGCTGGGGATGAGGGGTTGAGGGTGCAGGAGGGCGGGAGGGGGATCAGGGGCAGGGGGTTAGGGCACGGGAGGGAGTTAGGGGTGCAGGCTCCAGGTGGCGTTTACCTCAAGCAGCTCCCGGAAGCAGTGGCATGTCCCCCGCTCTGGCTCGTACACGAAGGCGCAGCCAGGTGTCTCAGTGCACTGCCCCATCCACAGGCGCTGCCCCTGCAGGTCCCATTGGCCATGGTTCCCAGCCAATGGGAGCTGTGGGGCAGCACTTGGGGCAGACGCAGCGTGCAGAGCCCCCTGGCTGCCCCTACGCATAGGAGCTGGATGGGGGATACGCTGCTGCTTCTGGGAGTCGCACAGAGCCATGGCACGCACAGAGAGGGGCAAGCCCCCGTCTGAAGCACCGGAGCAGGGCAAGCCCTGGACCCTGCTCGGCGGTGGGAGCTCAAGGGCTGGATTAAAATGTCTGAAGGGCCAGATGTGGCCCCCGGGCCGTAGTTTGCCCACCCCTGCCCTACATGGCCAAGACGAAAGCAGTAGAATTTGTACTTGGGGTGAGAATATAAATTAATCAAGTCAGAAGATACAACATTTTACTTACAAGTATTGCATGTATTGGGTCAATTTTCAACTGATGTAAATCTGTGTTGCTCCATAAACTTCAATGGATCTAGGCCAATTTCCATCAGCTGAGGATCTGCCCCATTGTTTATTAAAATTCACATTTAAACAGCCTAACCAGTAAACCAAAACTCTCTATATATGCAATGGGGACTGAATGGATGCTGCACAAATTTTCCCAGGGGGGAAAAATTCCTCTTTAACATAGAAAGTTTCAGCCAAAGAGGAACATTTTTATAAGCAATTAGAAAGAGGCAACTATAAGGAAAGTTGAGTTGCAGCTTGATCTATATGAAAGCTAAGATATATGTTAATCAATCAACCATATGTTCTGTATTTTGCAAATATTCAGGTTTTACCTCAACTTCTCAATGACACTGTTTTTATTTACACAAAAGATTCCAATAGTAAGAATACCTTGTTGCCAGTTTTCCAGTAGAAATCTCTAACAGCTCGTACCATGACTATGCCTACTGGAAGGGTGGCATTAACTGCTTCTTTTCCTGTAGAGGTCTTAATAAAATCAGAACCTTAAAAGAAACAGAAAACTCCATGGTAGTTTTATAATAACAGTAATTCTTTGCACGTGTATATATAGCTCCTTTCATGTTTTACAATCATTATTAAGCCGTACATCATCCCTGTAATGTAGGAATTATCCCTATTTTACAGCTGGGGAACCTCAACCACTGTGAGGTTAAAAGTCCTGTTCAAAGTTTCAGAGCAATTTAGAAGAACAACCAGGGGATAGAAGCTAGGCATTTCTACGATTAGTTCCTGTCTCTAGCCATCAGAACACAATCTGTCCTTGCTCATGTGCCAATCAGCTAATGTTATGATATACAACATTTAAATGCATGGTCAGTAATATATGTAGGCATTGAAGAAACATTCCAAAGAAGCGGACAGTTAGCCTTGGTTCCTGGCTTATTTCACTCTGCATTTTCATTTGAATACAATGTTATTCTTCACTTTGTGGCCTGAGCTCTTGTGAAGTGTTGGTTGTACCCGGCTGCATTTCAGTGTTGTCTTAAGTGAATCCTGTAACACAGTACTCAGTTCGCAAAATACTACTTTTTTTTGGAGGGGAAGGGGTGTGAGCATAGCCAGGTGTCTGATGTTGCTCCCATACAGATCAATGACATCACTCCCATGGACTTCAATGCAGCAGGCTGGAGCCCTGGGAACTGCAGGCTCTTTAACTAGCAAAAGTAGTCCGGGAGACCAGTTCAACCATAGGGTAAGACTGCCGCTCCCATTTAAATCAAATTACATCTGCTTACACCTTGACATCAAATTTAGCTCAGGGTTTGTTTTATATCTCATCTGAACGGTGGCATCTTCAGCAGCACAATGCCTTCTAGCAGTAATCTGGAGCAGTTTCACTACAAGAGCAAAGCAAAGGAGGCCATCTCTTGAATCACACCACCAGGGGCGGCTCCAGGCACCACTGCACCAAGCGCGTGCCTGGGGCAGCAAGCCTGCCGGTCGCTGTGGGGGCGGCAGTCAGGGAGCCTTCAGCGGCATGCCTGCGGGAGGTCCACCGGTCCCGCGGCTTCAGCGGCAATTCGGCAGCGGGTACGCTGAAGCCGGAGGACCGGTGTACCTCCTGCAGGCATGCCGCCAAATCTGCGTTACCAGTGTACCTCCCGCAGGCATGCCGCCAAAAGCCGCCTGACTGCCGTGCTTGGGGTGGCAAAATACACAGAGCCGCCCCTGCACACCACATCCCACAACACCATGGGTTTCCCTGTAAGTTTCCCATTCAAGTACTGAACAGACCAATCACTGTGTAAGCTGTGTCATCTGATGAAGATTACATTTTGACCAGATGGGGCAACATAGAAACTCTTCTTAACACCACGGGCATGCAATTTAAAGTAAAGGGCAATTAACAATTGACTGAACTTTGCATAAAATTAAGGTGGAAAAGGTAATCTCTTTCATTGGACCAACTTCTGTTTGTTTTTTCCAACAACAGAAGTTGGTCCAATAAAAGATCTTACCTAATCCTTCTGGTCTCTCTAGTATCCTGGGAACAACATCGCTACAACAACACTGCAAACAAAGAGTTAAGGTCACCCAAACACTAAACAAGTTATATACTCTGGGGCCACTCCCATTGAAATCAGAGTTTTTCTTCTGATTTAAAAGCGAGCAGGATTGAGCCCACTGTATACACTTAATGGTCACATCCTTTTTTAAATGGAAATGAAACTTTAACATTATCAAATTATAGTTTTTACAGTTTTTCTTTTAAGTGCAGAATTTAAGTCCTTCATTACAATACTTCCTCTCCCCGCCACAGTACAAGGTAAGTCAAAGCTTTTATAAGTCTTATAATTACAAGTCTCTATGGTACAGTTTCATTAAAAACTTTCATTAAACAACAGCTGCCCTTGTATATGGTCTTCTAATCAATTTGGTCAAACAGAATGACTTCTAATCAGCTGTTGATAAAAATAGAAGATGAAATTTTAATTCTAATAGATTAACCACAAACTCAAGATAGTCTTCAAAATCCATCTAGCTCCATTCTCCAGTGGATTTAACGACTATTCAGCAACTCATTACTAAATAGAACAAGATGAACATTTTCCAGTTCATTAAAGAAATGTACTATGTATTTTTGCATTGTCCTCATGATTCGTTACAGGGAGTCTTAATTACAAGATAATGGATAATGGTTATTAAATGCAGACTCCAGTAATGAAGCTCTATTCATTTGCGAGCCTCAGAGACTGCAAAGAGGGGGAAATAAAATTACTAGCTTCAAAAGATTAACGGATCAAATTATTATTCAATTTTGAAAATTTCATTGACTTCAGAGAAACAAGAAGAGATTAAAAACTATTATTAGTACAAAAGTAATGCATTTATTTATTTATTTATTTTTAAATAATATCTTAAGGCTATTATCAGAATAATCAGCTTTTGGATGTGATTATTAGACAAACATACAGCCAATTTAGCATCATCTCCTAACAATGAAAACAATACATTTTTATTTCATGAACAAATTCTATTTATGATACAAGAGTTTGCTAGCAGGATTCCATAAAGAATCTTGCGGAACCCAGAAGATGTATGCTACCAGAGAGCACTACAGGGTAAGGTATTATTAACATTTTATATTTCGCTTATGAAAAAACGGGATTTAAAAATCGACCCCTGCTTTAAGGAGCATGTCATTAAGTGGAATTCATGCCAACCTTGTAATTGGAGTTTCTGGTGACATTATTCACCAGCCCCGTGTTTTCTATACTTGTAAAAAACAAAATAAAACAAAAAACACGCTACTGACAAAAATTCAGCAAATTTTATCTGGTGATTCAGATCATTTTGAACCTATAACCATCACCCAGCCCCCCTTATATGAATGCACATACACAAAGGCAAGTTTTCAAATACATTTCTAAATAGTTTGTGAATTAGAAAGTGACTCAATGAAATACTAAGACTAAGCTCTTCAAAAATGGGTGTCTAAAATTAGGCTTCTAGGTCCTGATCCTCAAACGTATGTAGGTGCCTAAATCGTTAGGCAGCTAAATATCTTTGAGGATCTGGTCCTTAGGTCCCTATATAGGCCCTGATTCCAGATCATGCAGAGCACAGGTGGAAGGCTGTGCCAATGCAGAACCATTTTGTTTAGGTTTTTCAATGGAGCTTGAAGGGAGTTAGGCACCCAATTCCCATTGCATTTCAATGGGATTTGGGTGCCCAAAATCTTTAGCTAGCTTTGAAAATCCCAGTCATTGACTTCAATGGAGTTTTGTGCATTCTCAGTAGTATGCCTGCATGCTATATTATACATAGGGCCCTACCAAATTCATGGTCCATTTTGGTCAATTTCACAGTCATAGGATTTTAAAAATTGTAAATTTCATTATTTCAGATATTTAAATCTGAAATTTCATGGTGTTGTAACTGCAGGGGTCCTGATCCAAAAGGGGGTTGTGGGGGGGATTGCAAGGTTATTGTAGAGGAGTCACGGTACTGTCACGCCTACTTCTGCGCTGCTGCTGCTAGCGCTGCCTTCAGAGCTGGGTGGCCAAGAGCGGTGGCTGCTGGCCGGGAGCCCAGCTCTGAAGGCAGTGCAACTGCCAGCAGCAGTGCAGAAGTAAAGTTGGCATGGCATGGCATTGCCACCCTTACTTCTTCATTGCTGCTGGCGGGGCACTGCCTTCAGAGCTGGGTGCCTGGACAGCAGCCGCTGCTCTCTGGCCACCCAGCTCTGAAGGCAGCGCAGAAGTAAGGGTGGCAATACCTCAACCCTCCTATAGTAACCTTGCAACCCTCCCACAACCCCACTTAGGTCGGGACCCCCAGTTTGAGAAATGCTGATCTTCCCTGTGAAATCTGTATAATATAGGGTAAAGTACACAAAAGACCAGATTTCATGGGCTGTGAAGCATTTTTCATGGCCGTGAATTTGGTAGGGCCCTAATTATACAGAACAAGGGACTATGGTGCTAACTAAGTGTCCTAATTTACAAAACACTGAGTACCCAGAACTTTTGAAAATCCCATTGGCTACACTGGGAGATGCTAGATCATGCCATGTATTTAGGTTCCTCCGTGTGGACTTAGGAACCTATATGTTTTTTAAAAAAAAGATTGACAAAAGGGTTCAAACATCTGTTATTAGAATGGAATAATTTGCAACACTGTGGTTACAAGAGAGAGATAGCCCTGTAGGGATCTCTTTCTGCAGGATTTAATTATTTACTTTGGGGGTGTAAGGGGAGTTTGATGGGATGTCTACCCCACACAAGACTGGAAGGGGTTAAGAAGGCCAGGCAGGACAATTAACTCCAGAGGCTGCATCTGGAAGGTGAGCCAAGCAGCAGGGAATTGAAAACAGGTTCATTTGGGCAGGAACAGACAGGGCCTATAAAGCCAGGAAGCTGTCAACAGACAAAGGAAGACCGAAGGAAGACTTTGGGACCCTGGAAGGGGGGAAACACAGGTAATGACCTAGACAGAGGGCTGACTCATGAGAAGGAGGCTGCTGTTTCTGGAGCAAGAGGGGCCACAGGAGGAGAGCTCGGTGAGAGAGACACCACCGGAGGAGGGCACAATGCCTGGCTAGAGCTAATCTCTAGGATGACCAACAGAAGGTGCTACCAGTGGTGAGTGGACCCTGTGACAGGGAGATACTGCTATTTAGTACAATCTGGTGCATTTCAAAAGCAAAAAAGTGTACTTTTCAGAAGAAAAGCTTTGTGAGCCAGAAATAAATGCAATACCTAGTAAGGATGGTTTAGCAGCATCTAGACATGAGGATGAGCTCTACCAGAGGTAGAGACATCTATACTGTCTATCTTAGGTACTTATGTGGCCCCATTACTGTAGTAACTTATCTTCACAGTACTCCCGTGAGGTAGGGCAGTGCTATTATCCCCATGGTAGAGATGGGAACTGAACAGAGAGTCTAACTCACTTGCCTAAGGCCAAATAGCCAATCTATGGCAGAGCAGGGAGTTGAACACCAAGACTCCCAGGTACCAGGCTAGTGGCCTAACCACTG